TCCGGCCTGGGGCCGGGGCCTTATTGCTCCCTCCGAGACCACGAGCCGCCGTGCTCCTCCGGGGCCCCGCCGCCCTCCTCTGCCGAGCGCGGCCCGCGGGAGCGGCCTGCCGGCCGGGGCCGGGAAGCCCGGGGCCTGCCTGTGCCTCGCGGGCGGAGGGCGATCCCGGGGAACGGGGGGGCCGGCCGTCGGCGTTACCGGGCCTTTGGGGGGAAAAGCTGACGGCTAGCGTCGGCCACCTCGGGAGCGAAGGGAAAACGTGTGGGAAAAGCGGCGCCGGAGCGGCAGGTCCGAGGAGAAGGAGGCAGTTGAGCAGATTTTTAATTTCGGCAGCGTGCTAGCGCTTGGGAATTCAAGTGTATGGTAACAAATACGTTGCCCCTTAGGTTTTTCACTTGGCTTTGTAAGTCATTTTGGATTTGTCAAGGGTGAGAAGCAGAGAATTAAGAACCTACTGTTCCAGAAACCACGTAAGCCAAATTACCGTGCGTTTGAGGGAGCAGAGCAGGGCACCGGTGGCAGGCAGCCGAGCGATTCTGATTCTAGGTCCACCTTGTAGAAGAAGGGTGGCCTACGATGAATACATACTGACACAGTAGAGCAACCAGTCTGTAGTACTTAGAACAGCGAGTGAGTGTTGGGAGCGTACACTTGATCTGCCAAAGGGAGGCTTTTCCAAGTAGCCTGTTCTGATGCATGCTTGGCATTGAACGGGACAAAAGAGAGCCTGGGATTGAGTCCGTCAGTGTAGGTTTTTGAAAAAGGCATTAAACACATCAGGTCTCTGAAATTTGTTACTGTCTTTCAGCACCTGCTTTGTGGTCAAAAGTTTCATTTTCAGTGACCTTTGAGGAACAGAATAGAGATGCTTTAGTGGTGACCATATTTGCATTGCGAAAATTTCATAACACCACCACTGCCTATCTCTGATGTGAACACAAAATTAATTGTTGATTTTCTATGGACTAGGCAAAGTTTAATTGGCTTGGGTATTCTATCTAAGCTAACAGACCCTAAGTCTAGATCTATTTTCTTTTATTTAGTTGTTTATCTTGTAGGACACAGGTGACTTTGGGATGAGAGGGACATAACACTCCTGCCATAGGTAATTCACAAAAACGATGGACACTTTTTTAAATAAAAGGCGTGGAGCTTTTCCTTCTAAGATAAGTGACAAAACTTCACAGATTGTAGTGCAAGAACTCAACTTCATTCTTTAAATTTCTAAGCTGTGCTGTGGCAGTGGATAGCACAAAGACAGCAAGGCCGTCGGTCTACTTAGCAAAACGTTTTCTAGTCCCCATTTTGAGTCAGAAAAAACAGTAACAAACCCTGAGAAGGTGAAACTAATACCAGAAGTTTTAAAGTTTGTTTAAAGTGTGAAATTATGAAATTTTGGTTGGAAGAAATCCTCACCAAACATTTGTCAGTCCTTCTGCTGACTAATTATTCTGCTTCTAAGTCACTCATTTCCTATGACCTCATATCTGTTTTGTCCTCACGTAAGGTTAGTTTCATTAAGTGCAATAACCCTATAAACATGCAGTATAATTTGGAATAGTATGGAACAGAATTGCTCTGGATTTTTCCTTAATCTCAGTTTCCTCCAGGTTTTAGAATTTGTGCTTTTTATTGATGCCATGCTCAGCATGGCTTGAGGTGGCTTCAGGACCTTCCCTTACAGAGTTTCTGTGCTGGGGCAGACAGGTAAACAGATTTACTGGTGAGATGTGTGTACTGGTGAGATGTAGTAAAAACAGCTTTAACTTCAGTAAATAAGGAAATCTACAGCTAACCATGGCTTTGCATTCTAGGAAGCATCTCAGACCACGATAAAAGTGTTTTCTGTGTTTTTCCTTGAAAGAGGAAGTTTTAGTTACTGAATTGGCCAACAGTAAAACAGTCTATACCTTTTGCTGAAACTGGCTAAATATTATTCTGATGTAGAGCAGATGGTTTCCTCCCTTGTGTCTCAGGTCTGCTGCAATGCCTGGAGGTTTGTTGTGATTAGGCAGCCACAGGGGCACTTGAAAGGTCTGTTTAACTCGTGTTTTAAAAACAGGGCAGTGTGAATGGTAGTGTAGGCAGGATGCAGAAATATTCTCACTGAAGGTAACTGTAGAAAATCATCATCACAGAGAAATACTGTTGCAAAGAGGGGGAAGTGCTCTCCTCAATATTTTTCTAAGCAGGAGTATGTCCTCTTTCTAAGTGATGTCTGAGTGGCATTTGGGAAAGAAGCAACTCCATCTGGCACAGTAAAATTTCCCCAGCCTCCTCTTCGTTCTGGTGGTAGAATGTTAGTAAAAGGATTGCCAAAGGCTGAACTTGAGAGGCTAAAATACCAACAGAATGAACCCTCGGTTTTTACAGATTCGTTCCAGCTATGTGGCCTATGCAGGTAGAAGATTTAAAATAGCACTAAAAGGCCAGGAAAAAGTACTTCTTAGAAAATCAGTGGCTGCAGCTAGTATTTTAAGACCCTTCAAAATACTTTGCAAAAAAATACAGCTGCCTGTAAGGTCTATAAGCAGATGGCAATATTTCTCTTCATCATTCTCCTAGTCTGTGACAACCATTTTCTTATTACTGTTCTGAAGTTTTTTCAAGCCTTCCTTAACCTAGACCCGCCAGGCAGTGTGAGCTTCCTCCTGTGAGCTGCTGGGTGATTTTGAACATCCGTTCACCACCGAGCAGGTCGAGGCTGCTCTCTGCCTTGCTGGATCAGATCTCAGCTCATCTTTCATAACTGCCAAGGTCTTTTGTAACCTCTGATCTTTCATAACCCCAAATGCTAGCCAGTTCCTCTCGCATGCCTTTTGTAACCTACACACACGCCACGTGTTTAATCTCGTCCGCTTGGAATAGGCTCGTCCTGGATGAGCCTGAAATACTGGTGTTTCTCAAGTGCTTCATCTGTCTGAATCCTTCTGAGCCCCAACCAGATTCATTTAGGGGTCGGACTTCCTTCCCTGAGACAACAAACTCTCAGCAGAGGGGAGAACCTGCTCCCTCTGACCTCTGAGCAGAAAACAGATTGTAGTTGTGGATCTCCTTCTCGCCCAGGGTGTGAAGCCCTTATTGACTTAGGTGTGGCTCAGCTGGAGGTGGCAGTCCCCTTCCTGTCCTAAACCGCTGTGCAGTGTTCATCGGTGCAGCTGCTCTGTGTGCCACCTGGAGATCCCCATTGCAGTCCGCGGTGCAAAAAGCAGGGTCACTCGGAGAGGAAGCTGCTGCAGCTGAAATTGGTTTAATTACACCTCAGCCGACAGTTTGCCATTCTCCGACAGTAATTACACGCTGCAGTGATGCAATAAAATCGGTTGTAGTTTTTGCAGAGGGAGGGTGACCTTTCTGTAGCTAGCTGGCCATCAACGTGGAATCCGCAGATGTCTTCCAGTGCGGATCCTTGTCACTTCACGGGTTTGATGGATGATCTCTTAATAGGGAATTAAACGGGAGAGCAAGTGGCTAACAGCTTTAATAAAAAGGGTGGGGTGGGGGGGGGAGAAAAAGGAAGTAATCTTTTGGAATTATTAGCCTGAGTGCAAAAGAGCATTTCCTCAGCACGACAGCCAGAGGCTTGCAGCGCTGTTATTAAAGCACTTTAGAGGGAATCCATGCAGATGGTCTTTTTACCCAGCATAGGATTAGTCATATAAAATTGTTGTTTACTGTCTCTAGCCCTTTTCCCTGGAGCTTTTACCAGTATCTCACAAAGAATTAAGTTTGAGGCTGCCTTTAAGAGGTAACCCAGATGACAAGCTTTTTGTTTGTGCAAACTACTACAACGTTGTAGTAGTTTAGTGCAATTGTAATGTTGCAGTGAGAGATTTTATAGCTGATAAAAGAGGATGTTTGGCCCAGATTTTTGTTTTGCCTCTTGGGTGTACAAGAATGGAAGGTCAATCGTGAGGAAGGAGATGCTCTCTCCTCTTGCTGGACTCCCTAGAAGAGCTGTGCTGATCCCACTTCTGCTTCATCAGAGACAAACAGGAATTCCAAACACTGGCACTCCGTTTCATAATGCTCGCTAATGACTCATTAAGGACATAACGCTTGATTAATGCACCATTCTGAATGGTGTATTGGATGTTTCTCATGTTCCCTTTGTGTCATGCAGAGTCATATTCTGACCACTTGTCTTCTCTACATCTGGAAGGCCCAGGGATCACTGCCTGGACACCCTCCGCATTTTCCCTCCTGCCACAAACTAACCAAAAGATAGTCTCAGAGATGTAGTGGCAGAGTCCCCCTTCAGATCCACCCTGGGGGCTGGTTAATGTGGAACTTGAGATTCTTGGCTTCAAGGTCTGACAGACAGCTCTACTGGTAAAATGGCATCCTTCAGTGTTTTCTGGAGTTTTCAGACTGGCTCTGTCATCTCGGGAAATTTTGCCTTCCAGGAGG